AGATGATATATGATGGAATGAATGTAAAACTGACGTTCCCCCATGTAAACTATCATATAATTCACAATAAAACATCAAAAAAAAAAAAAAAAAAAAGTTGCACCTTAGATGGCTGCTCATTAACTTTTAAAATCCCAGTCACAAACTTAACCACAGTGAGGTGTAGACCACTGTGTTTGTAGACTAAGTTATGCCAACTGACCATGGTGTCCCCCAGGACTATGATCCTGAGCATTCAGGCCCAGGGACACAGTCCCTCTAGGTGTCTGGTAACGTCTCAGAAGTTTCTGTGGCACTTAGGATAAGCACTTGACCTCAAGGTTGGCGATTCCAACTCATCAGTCGCTCCTCAGTGACCTCTTTACAGGGTCACTGGGAGCCGGGACTGACCCCACAGTACCACACATCACCTTCACTGATGTTTGTAGCAAAGGTAATACCCAGGCACGAGCATAATGGCAAACCTTTATACATCTGTGGGTGTACTCCCACTCTCGCTCACCTGTGATTTGTTCACGTATCTACCCACAAGTGACTGTTACTGTGTATGTGACAGTATTGACCTCCATTCCCTTTCACTTGTTGACACTGAACAGAAAAGCTGCGATGCTTGGTATGTACCCTAGACTGAAGTCTGCAACTATGGCTGCTGCCATTTCAAGATAACAGAATCCAGTGTAAGGGTCATTATTCACAAAAGGAATATCTGTGGCGTCTTGTTGCCCACTTTGCACTTTTTGCAGACCACCTTTTTATCTTGTTATTACAGACGCAGCTTTTATGCGTGTGCACATGTAACACATAACATACAAGAGGTGTTAGGACACGAACTTTCCTATGTTCTTCTAAACACTACGTAGTACTAATGAACATACTAGAAAGTCCTCACGACTTGTCTCCATCACAATTCTGAGACTCTATACCTTATATTAAGGCTTAATGACAAGGATTGTATAAATAAACTTATATTCCATTATAGACACACAAAGATCATCAAGTAAGATTTATTATCCAATAAATAAGACTCTACAAAGTTGCTAAGCAATTATCTCCATTTTTAACTAAAATGGAAGAGTTTAAGATTGATACCTTTCTCTAATAAACTTACTTTATCGCTGCCAACTTTTTGGATAGAGTGCCCTCTGCTGGAATCTTTAAGAAAAATGGAAAAAACAGTATTAAGAATGTTTTGTATTTGAAATACTGCTTCAAATTAATTTTATTGAAGTCTAAATATGTAACTGGAATCTGGTGTGGCGCTGTGGGTTAATGCGCTGGATTGCAAAGTCTGTTTGAACAGCAAGTTCAGCAGTTCCAGCTCACCAACTGCTCCTAGACCCCTCTACAGGGTCGCTGTGGGTAGGAATCCACCTCATCGGCACTTAACCACCACAAATATGTAAGTGATACACATATTCTGAAGAATTGGGGTGGATACAGGGTGTTGGTGGGAACGCATGATCCTTGGAATGCTATTCAGTAAGTGTAACTTCTCTGCCTCTTGAACTGACCTAGCTAACAAGACACCCATCCACCCATCAGAGAATATTGCTGGCCTTAGCAATAAAGGTGCAATCTTTATCATGTAAACTCATTAATTTGCTTTAACAAAGTCTAAAAGTCAGCAATAGATGTAAGAGCAAATATTATTGTGGGCTAGGTGTGAACCTGTTGATTCAAACATTTATTAATGCTACTCCAATGAAGTCTAGGAAATGGATTAATCTGGGAATTTCCTAGTACACAATTTCATGGGAAAAAAAGTTTACAAGGTTGTTCTAACACCAAGTGGTTAGTGTTTTTGTTGAGTGCTGTCAAATCAGTTCTGACTCACAGTGGCCCTGTGTAGGGTTTCTGAGGAGTGGGCTAGTGGGTTTGAACCGCCAACCTTGTGGATAGCAGTTCAGTGCTTATCCTCTAGCGCCACACTAGGGCAATACTCTTAATTTAATGCAATCTTTTTAAAAGTATGCAATTTGAGGGGCAAGGAGGGGCCACATACCAGAGAACGAAATCGTATAGATTCTATTGGTCCATACTCTTTAAACAAAGACTTCAGTTTCTAAAACACAAAAATGATACTTTTATTCCATCAATTGATACAAAAATGACTTAGTGATATTTACTGGCAATTTTTATTTAAAATTTTTTTTTCAGAAGTAAACATATTCAAGGAGAGAAAACAAACAATGAAATTTATGTAAGAAGAAAACAAAACTCAAGTTCATATTTAATATCCCTAAGGTATACATTTTGTCTTGTAATCTTTTAAAAATCTTTACTACATCAAATTAAAGTTGCATTTACATTTTCCATAGATTTTATCATCTTTCCCATTTGGCTTAGACCAGACATAAATCTTCAGGATTTTGTATCACTATGAGGAATTCACCAACTGTTGAGAATTAAGACCATCAGGTTAAGGGGAAAGCCTAGAGGACAAGTTTTAACACATTATTTCTATAACTCGCTCAAATGTGAAGGCCTTATTGTTTACAGCTAGGCCAATCAGTCCTATAACCAAATCTAACTCTAAAGCAAGTTAATGAATGGCTACAATTTGTACAAAGCACCACACAGTTTTTTGTGTTTTCCCGAGCCCCTCCCAATCTCATAGGAAAATCAGTAAGTAAACTATGCTATAAAACAAACTATAAAATCAAGACTACACAATAATCATTAAGCAAGTGCCAGGAAATGAAAGGACAACAAGGAAAGGAAAAACTTAAGAAGCTTTTTTGTAAAAACTTTTTGTATAAAAAGTGCTTTTCCAGAAATTCAAATTTAAATTATATTTTAAAAGATGAGCAGGATTTTGACCCAAGGGATTGCCAACAGAAGTCATATGAAAACACAGAAAGTTACGGTCATGTTTGTTGCTAGATGAAGCCCAGAGAATGGAAGAAACTTGGGATGTAGTCATTAAATAACAAACTGTTTACTGAACCACTAGCATGTGCAAAAAGGAATTGTGGCGGTGCAGTGATTAAGTGCTTGTATGTGAACTGAAAGGTGAATCCAGCCGCTCTGAAGAAGTTGTTTGCGCCCATAAAGATTACAGCCAAGAACATGACATAGTCCACAAAGACAATGTTTTGTATACTACTTTGGTGAGCAGCACCTGGGATCTTAAACAAGTTCATGAGTAGCCAAAGGTGCAGACACTAGTCTTTTTATGAGCGGAAGAAAGAAGAGTGATGAGAACTGAAGAGGCTTAGAATCAATTAGTCCAACAAATGAATGAACATCATGTGAACATATGAACACCAGTCTCCAAGACTCTGAGATGAGAAGAACTAAATGGGATCACATTAGAAGGTCCCGGGTAGAGTGACAGAAAATGTTATTTAAGAAAATAAAAAGACTGGGCTACCGGTCAGAAAGAGACTGGAGGAAGCTGAGACTAAGGCCCTTAACCATCACCCTTCAGGTCTGGGAAGGAACACACACTCGTGGCCCAATTTTCAGCAGAGCAGTAAATAGGTATATGGAGGGAACAACACTATTAAGGGACCCTAAATCATTCAAACTCAAACGGGCAACATTTACCTAAGGACCAAGTTGAGAAAATATGGCAAGGTGGGTGGAATGGAATCAGGAACCACAGGGGGAAAGCAAGATAAACAGTTATTGCATGGAAGGGGCTGCAATCATTGAGATAAAACTAAAACTAAGAATATGCTTTGTTGAATGTGAAACTGAAGATCCTGTCTGTACACTGTCACTCAATTCACAATGCTGTTATTGTTGTGATGTGCCCTAGAGTCGGTTCTGACTCACAGCAACCCCGTACAGAGTTTCTGAGGCTGTAAATCTTTACAGGAGCAGAAAACCTCATCTTTCTCCCGCAGAACAACTGGTAGTTTCGAACTGCTGACCTTAAGGTTAGCAGCCCAACTCATAACCACTCCACTACCAGAGCTCATTCAATTCACAATAACAAAAAAAAAAAAAAAAAAAAAGAGAAAAAGTTTCAGCCAAGAAAACCCTAAGGGGTAGTTCTACTGTTAAATGTGGTCACCATGAGACCAAAGTCGACTTCATAGCTCTTGGCAATAACAACAATGTCCTTGATGGCGTTCCGGTGTGGTCCTGTAGACTAAGTACTACATTGCCAAGCATCCGGTCAGCATTAATGAAAAGATGTAAATAAATGTCCTGTACACATGAAGGCTAAGTTTTATTTCTGTGGAAGCCACCACACAATTCAAAATTCAAGTAAGATTTACAAAAACCTGAATCAGACAGTGATTACCGAAATGGAAATGATTTCCGAGTGGACAATGGAATCTATTACAGTTGGTTAGTCATTTCTCCAAGGTATTATAACAAATTAGAGGCAGAATGGGAACTTCATGGTTTCTCAATTTTAAGATGAACTGTTTCCCCCCTCGTTTGAAATATAATCTTGAGATGTGACTTCTAACTGATAGTACTTAGGTTACAATGAAATACGGTAGATCTAATTGTCGATTCCTTATTCTGTGCCTGTCTTAAAAAATATTTGTAATTTAGAATATTATGTAACTATATCAATTGCTTATGTTAGTGGGTAATTATGTACATAATAAACAGTGAATACAGACAAATATTAACTTCTCTGAACGTTTACAATATTCATACTATAAACTCACCTTCTTATTGCATGTGACCGGCAAATTACCTACAAACACGGTTCTTTCATTCTTTAATCGCTCTTCTTCTTGGTTGATCTGAATTTTTTTTCTTTGATTTGGAACTGTGGGCTCTATATCATCAAGTATTTTTTTATCTGCTGCTTTAACACCATCACCAGACTGAGAGTTTTTCCTTTTCTGCTTGTGTTTCTGTTGAATTTCTTCTTCTTCTAAATCAGCACATGCTAGAGCACTCTCCCTTTTTTAAGACAAAACAAAACAAAGTTAGAAATTAAGAGTCATGGAAGGCAGAGCTAATATATGACAAACGCAATTTGTGAATGGAAACTCTTTCCATGATTACAAGATGGCAGAATTCTCTGGGGAAGGGCGAGGTGTGGCAACAGCGCCTACAAAGGGGCAAAGGCCTAGATGAAGGGTGAGCTGAGAAACCAAGAATCTCATAATTTGATAGCACTGTTTAATTAAAGATGTGTATGATTTTGTAACAGCACACATCTTATCTGGGTTAATGCAAATAAACGGTGAGATAAAAATTAAAATATTAAAAACAAAAGCAACAAACATCAACTAAATAACGTAAGAAACGTGGTCCATGAATTTAGTTTTGTTTGTGTTCAGTGCCAAGTCAGTTCCAACTCACAATGACCCTGTATAGGGTTTCTGAGGAGCTGCTGGTGGGTTTGAACTGCTGACCTTGTGGTTAGCCGTCTACTGCTTATGCTAGAGTTTAGTTTAAGGGCACCAAACACATTAAAAGGAGCTCTGATAGCGTAGTGGTTACGACTCGGGTTACAAGCCTTAAGGTAAGAAGTTTGAAACTACCAGCTGCTCCGTGGGAGAAGGATGAGGCTTTCTGCTCCCGTAAAGATTTACAGCCTCGGAAACCCTGTACAGGGTGCCTATGAGTCTGAACCAACTCCACGGTATTTAACAACAAGAAACACATTCAAATACTTACAAGGACAGTAAGCCTTAGATTAGATTTGAATATAAGGGCGTATATGTGGGGGGTTGGCTTGGCACTGTAGGATCCCATGACCTGCTAACCACAAACTCAGCAGTTCAAACTCATCAGCCACTCCCTACACAGGGTTGCTGCTACAACCAACTCACCACAGTTGACAACAACAAAGATTATGTCAGGCTGACCAAACGTTAATAACTGCTGAGTCTGAGTACACGGGGGTACATAATCCTTTTCAATTTTGGCAGCTACATATGTTCCATTGTTGTTGTTGTGTGCCGTGGAGTCGGTTCCGACTCATAGCGACCGTGAACAGGGTTTCCGAGGCTGTAAATCTTTACGGGAGCAGAGAGCCTCATCTTTCTCGCGCGGAACAGCTGGTAGTTTCGAACTGCTGACCCTGAGGTTCGCAGCCCAATTCGTAACCACTACGCATATGTTCCATAGTAGTTTTTTTAAAAAGAAAACAGAAATATGAAATGAGGAAAGGATTTGGAGAACTGTGGCAGCGTTGGAATTTTAATTTACCAATACCCGAGAGAGTAGTAGCGTGTACCCACCTGTTTGCCAACGTTTTGTCTGCATTCGAAAGTTTCTTCGCTTTCATTTTTTTTGTAGGTCCTTGCAAATGTTTTTTTTTAATTTGGGATGTAATTTCTTCCCTCTCATCCTGTTTTCTTTTTTGGGTGGTTTCCTTTTAAAAGTTGGAAGTTATGTTTAAGAGCTTTCTGCTTTAAGAGTCTGAGCTTCAGTAGAGATTTCGGGGTCTTCCTCAAGAACCATCTCTCCCTCTCCCTGGTACGGTCAACAGTGAAAGGGGCCTTAGGTAACCCTGCCCGCCCAGCTCCCGCCGGCATTGTGGCCTATTCAGGGGAGAGTTGATTCTCTGTACAACTGTTCGAAACCCGTCACTCACTTTAGGCACAGGGACATACACGGGCTGAACCCGAGACTCCAAGGAGCCGAACAGGGAAGCCAGCCGGTGCGTGCTGCCTCTGCGCATGTGCGCACTCTGCGCCAGGCTGTCGGCGACTTGGCCAACCAGATAATCTCCAGTCGGGTGCCCGCAGGAGCCATCGTCCGGGTTCTCTCTGCAAACGAACGCATGCAGCTCACTGACGCCACCCCAAGACCAGTCGCTTCCGCCCTCCCGCATGCACATCTTTGCCCAGGTAGACGTTCGCGTACCACTCACCCCTGTTCGTCAGTCTTGTTTTTCTTCCGTTTGTGCTTCACTTTCAGGGCCATTCTGAGTCCAAAGAATTGAGCTAACACGTGCCACTGCTAGTACTTCCGCTTCCGGGCCACGCCTTTTCCGTGCCCGGCAGCCTCTGCGGCTCAGCGGGCGGGGTTGTTGTGAGCGCGTTTTCCAGGTTGACTGTATGTTTCGCGGACGCTTAGTCGTGGGGAGGGGTGCAGCAAGCGTCTCTGGGGTACAATCATGCCACTCATGATGGTCTATGAAATAGGGCGCTATGTGATTTGGATTTGTGGGAGCACCTATCATAGCGACCTTAGCGAATTCTGATATAGGGACTAATGCGTTTTCGTTAGCGTTGGAGCTTTCAGCGGAGCCGATCTTTGAACAGCTTGGAGAACTTTTTGGTTTTGAGAATCGTGATTGCCCAATACGGCATGCCTAAATCTCCAGCAACAGCATTGATTTCCCACTTTTGTGGGGTTTAATAAACTTTTGCTTCTGTTCTAAATCTATACGTCTGCTGTCACTGGTAGTAGTTGTGTTTGGGAGCCACGATGCACTTTATGGTTGTCTAAAGACAACTAAACAGACAGCACTCAAGACACATGCGACTGGATGCTGTTGCCTACGAGTTCAGCCGTATTATTATTACATGGTAAACCTTTAGGGGGAAAGTTGTTCTGTGCCGTGGAGTCGGTTCTGACTCATAGCGACCCTCTACAGGGTTTCCGAGGCTGTGAATCTTTACGGGAGCAGAAAGCCTCATCTTTCTCCTGCGGAACAGCTGGTAGTTTCCAACTGCTGACCCGATTCGATTCGTAACGACTAAGGAGCTCTGGTAGCGTAGTGGTTACGAATCGGGCTGCGAACCTTAAGGTCAGCGGTTCGAAACTACCAGCTGCTCCGCGGGAGAAAGATGAGGCTTTCTACTCCCGTAAGGATTTACACCCTCGGAAACCCTGTACAGGGTCGCTATGGGTTGGAACCGACTCGAAGGCACTTAACAACAACAACAAGCTACCAGAGCTCCTTCGTCAAGGGTAGAGACCTCACCTTTTACCTATCTTTCCTACCTTTCTACATCCACACTCCATACATGATAGCATGCACTCACACACACATTTCATAGTTCAGAAAACTGCAGGTCACATAGGGGGAAAGTACAGTCCATAAATGGAGTCCTGGTGTGGCGCTGTGGGCTGGTGCACTGGACTGCAAAGTCGTTGGAACCACAAGGTCAGTGGTTCAAGCTCACCAGCCGCTCCTTGGAACCGTATACAAGTCGCTATGGGTCGAAACCGCCTCAACGGCACATAACACAGTCAGCCCATAAATAAGCTAGTTGTTAAGTGCCGTAAAGCAGGCATGTATTATACTGTACGTGCAGGTTACAGATGTACTGTACCAGGAGCCCTGGGGGGAAAGGGATTTAAGTGCTGGGCTGCTAATTTGTGAGGTCAGCGGTTTGAACCCACCAGCTGCTTTGCAGAGGAAAGATGTGGCTGTCTGCTGTCTTAGATTTACATAAAACCTAATGGAGCAGCTGGGTCCTATGAATCAGAATCACTGCCTTTAGGGAATGTATAAAGCTAGATGGAGCTCTGGTAGCGTAGTGGTTACGAATAGGGCTGCGAACCTCAAGATTAGCAGTTCGAAACTACCAGCTGTTCCGCGGGAGAACGATGAAGCTTTCTGCTCCCGTAAAGATTTATAGCCTCGGAAACCCTGTACAGGGTCACTATGAATCGGAACCGACTCCACGGCATATAACAACAACAAAGCTAAATGGAGGGAGGATGTGGTGAGATACAATAGGTTCACATTTTGTTATATTTAATAAGGGGGGGGCGGTCTGTATTTTGTAGCAATACTTTTGGACTCACCTTCCTATCCCCATTTCCAGATGAATCTTCCCTTGAAGTTGGCTATAAAGTCATGTGTTGTGTGTGCATACGTTTGTTGTTAGGTGTTGTTGACTCAGTACCAACTTAACAGCAACCTTACGCATGAGGCAAAACACTGTCTGTGCACCATCCTCACAAACCGTGATAGAGCTTAAGCGCATTGCTGCAGCCACTGCGCCAATCCACCTCATTGGGGGAGGGAAGCCTGCCTTTCTCCTTGACCCTTCTCTTTACCAGGAGTTCTGGGTTAATGTGCTGGACTGCAAGGTGGGTTGAACTGCAGGCTCGCTGGTTTAAGCTTACCAGCCGCTTCTAGGAAACCTTATACAGGGTCACTGTGGATCGGAACCAACTCAATGGGACTGAACAATAACCACTTGACTAAGCAAGATGTTCTTCTCTTCTCCAGGGATTTGTCCGAAGTATGAAGAGTAGTCTCACTAGGCTCGCTTCTAAGGCTGTATTTTTTCCAGTAGATTTGTATGTTCTTCTGGAACAAACATAATCCAAAGGTGCTCTGGTAGCAGAGTGGTTATGAGTTGGGCTGCTAACCTTAAGGTCAGTAGTTTAAAACTACCAGTTACCCTGCGGGAGGAAAGATGAGGCTCTCTGTTCCCGTAAAGATTTACAGCTTTAGAAACCCTATACAAGGTCACTATGAGTCAGACCGGACTCCACCTGCACACTACCACCATAATTCAAATGCATCCATTCTTCTATGGTCTTCCTTAGTCACTCCAACTTTCACATGCAAATGAAGCCATTGAGAATAAATACCATGGTTTGGGCCAGGCACACCTTAGTCCTTAAAGAGACATCTTTGTTCTCGAACACTTTAAAGAGGTCTTCTGCAGCAGATTTGTCTAGATTGTGTGCACACTATCCCCTTTAAACTCTTAGCACGCCGTAACCATACAATATAGCATTTAATTTTGTTGTCTTTTATCATTGTCACTAAACCATGCAACACTTCTCTTGAAGATGACATCTTTTACATGCATAACCCTCATATGGTAATGCCAGTCTGGTTATTCTGACTGAGAAACTCAGGGTTCTTGTGGGAGAAACTCACACATAGTAAGTGTTCCTGTAGGTGAGCTAAGGCCGGTCCAGGTGGCAATGCAGGATAAGCACTTGACCATGAGGTGGGTTCGAACCGCAAGGTTGGCACTTCAAACTCACCACCCGCTCCTCAGAAACCCTGCACAGGGTCACTGTGGGTCCGAAGTGACCTGACATTTAACAACAACAACTAGTGATGTGTAGAGTGTTCAGTTCGGGGGAGACTGCTACTCAGGGTAAAGACTTCTAGATAACGTAAAAATTCGGACAAAAAAGATGCGGAAATGGACATAACCAAAAAATGAAAGGCAGCAAGCATATTTTTAGTCAGGAAAATATTATTAAAAATGAAGGCTGTGTGATTGGAGATAGTTAACAAATCAGCCTCATTGCCATTCAGAACTAGTTTTTAACCTCTCAGGGATCACAAACGCCCTTGTGTTTCTTAAAATATAAGGACTTTTTTAAGAGAAGCATACAAAACAATGAAAAAAACCCAAAAAACAAAAAAATTAGGGGTCTCATGCTCCACCTCTCCCAATACTCCTAGATTAATAAAGTTAGTACAGTACCCTCAAGTGTTTCAAACAGGAAAACAAAGCATTTTCAAACATTTGACAATTCCCAGAGCATTTCCATGGATACTTCTAGGTACTATAGGAACACCTTTTGTGAACACTGTTCTGCAGATTTTAAAACTCATCCCCTGAAAGTTAAAGTTAAAGGATCTTTTATGGTTCGAATTGTATGTTACAATCCTAATCTCTAGTACCTGTGAAGGTTACCTTGTTTGGAAATAGCTTACTTGTAGGTATAATCAACAAGAGGTTATACAAACTGTCTCCAATTTACAACAAATTCCAGCTACCACAAATCTACTTAAGGGCCATCCGGGTGTTCTTTTGGTAAGGGACTTGTGCATTTTTTATGCATATATGTATGTATTAAAATGTATCTGTAAATTTACACACAGATAAATTTACCAATAGCCCAAAGACAAAGATCGGATTTATAAGAATGCTGTAAATAAAAAGCAGTTAATAACGAAAACTAAGGAAATTAAAAAAAGGATTCAACTTGTGTCAGAACAGAACCCACTGTCCGCTTGTAAATCGAGGACTACTTGTACTGGAAAAGGATGGGCCCTCATCCAATACAACTGGTATCCTCAAACCAATAAAGGAGACACACACCTGGGAAGAACACTATGTGCTGCTCCCACAATCCCCAGGACTGCGGGAACCCGCCCTCGGAAGCCAGATGGAGGAACGATCCTCTCATAGTCCTCAGAAGGAATCAAGTTAGGCTACACCCTGATCAAGGGCTCCTGGACTCGCAAACTGTCAAAAGTCAATCTGTGTTGTTTTTATCTACCTACTTTGTGCTATGCTTCGGAAACTAGTATGTTGTTGTTCTTAAGTGCCATTGAGTCGGAACCGACTCATAGCGACCCAATCTATGCACAGCAGAAAGAAACAATGTCCGATCCTGGGCCAACCTCACTACTGTTGCCACACTTGAGTCCATCGATGCTGCCACCCAGCCAGTACATCTTGTTGGGGGTGGGGGTCTTCCTCTTTTTCTCTGACCCTCCATCTTACCAAGCATGATATCCTTCTCTAGCGACTGTTCCCTCCTGACTAGTATTGTTGTTGTTGTTGTTAAGTGCCGTCGAGTCGGTTCCGACCCATAGCGACCCTGTACAGGGTTTCCGAGGCTGTAAATCTTTACGGGAGCAGAAAGCCTCCTCTTTCTCCCGCGGAACAGCTGGTAGTTTTGAACTGCTGTTCTTAAGGTCCGCAGCCCGATTCGTAACCACTACGCTACCAGAGCTCCTTAATTAGATGTTAAGATTAAAAAAAATAATACTTCGAGAGCTGCTGGTAATGGTTTCAAGTGCCCAGGAGAAAAATGAAAAATTTGATTTTATTCAGAAAAGCTTCCTAATCATAAAAAAACAGTTACATTCAAACTCAAGCAAGTTAGTGTATGCAAAAATGTAAGAATGTCTAAAAATTTTATTATCTGGTAATGGACTTTTAATTTGTATAGGTAGAAGAGTTCCCTTTTTTGTGTATCAA